GATCAGGTGTATGGAGAGTGGCCATCAACAGAATGACATTTTCTACAATCCAAAAGTTCTTTGTTTAAAAGAAAAGTAAAACTTGGCAATATTTTATTCTGCCAGCCACTATAATGTGTATTTTCTGAACATTATCTTATGTAATCCTTGCATTCTAAGTCAACATCATCCCTTTAGCCAATAAAGAAAGTAAAGCTCAGAGGGGTGGAGGGTGTAGCCAGAGCACAGCAAGGATCAGACATTTGAGTTTGTTGCAAAATTAAGAAGACCTTAAAGGAACCCATCCACCCACTGAGGGCGTGTGTATGTTTGTGTGTGTGTGTATGAACATGTAATAGAATTAGGCTTTGTTCAGAAACCTCCAGGGAAGATACTTTTAGTATTATTTGTGGTTTCGCAGAGTTAAAAGAAAAGGGTAGGCAGTGGAGGGAGAAGGAAACGCAAAACACTCTGGGTTTTGAGTATTTTGCTTTTGGCAAGTCAATGATGATAAATATTGAGCACCCTGGCAGGGCTGTGGAGAGCTGTGAGATGACGGGAGTCACTGAACTGGAATGGTACACCAAGCTGACAAATGGGATTCTCTCCCAAGTCAGCGCCTGCTTTAACAAGTGGAGGAAAGCAGTATTGCCCCAAGCTCTGCAGATACTGGTGCCGCTGACATCAGTGAAAAACAGTATAGAAAGTGGCAACCCATAGTGTCTGTGGAGAAAGAGATTTGTCTTCTCAAGCACATGCGAAAGACCAGAAAAAAGTAGAAGTTATTGGAATCATCACTGAAAATTAGGGTCATGAATATTTAAAATAAATCAATAATATAGTTATTTCTGTCCTTCTTAAATTAGTGTCATTAAAATTACTTCATAACCAGAATGAGGAAACTTTGAATAACAAAATGAGATTTCTAAGGCAATGCAAAAATTAAGAGAGGTTCTTGGGAACTTCTGGATTTGTTTATCTCTAAGCATTTTGGCTTAATCTGATGTTCGCTGACTCAGGGTGGCAATTTTTTTTTTTTCTCATAGATTACAAAACAAATCTAGTGAACTAATGTGCATTGGCTCTCCAACTAAATTTGAGTGTGGCTGAGTTATACATGTGTAAACCCACACACACAACACTCATGAGTCTAAAATACATTCCTAGAATTAGACATTCTTGGCCACGCAAGTTGTATACTTTTTATGAACTTGTAAGAGTTTACCAGTTTATACCTCATAGATGTGTGTGTGTGAGCATGTGTGTGTTATGTGTGTGGTATATTCCTATTTCCCAATAATATCTTGAAGAACTAATCTTACTTGTAAAACAATGTGCAGATTTCATAGGCAAACATACAATGTGCAGATTTCATAGGCAAACATGAAACACTATTATTTCACTTAGAATTCAATTTCACTGAAATTGAATAAATGATGTATTAGCAAATTGTTTTTATATTTTCAGTAATATAGGATTAGTTACTTATGCTGATTTTTATATCAGCATTTCACTTTTGTCTAGTTAACTGGAAAATAATGTATAATATTGTTGAATAATAATGTTAATTTTTAGTTGCAGGCAGTTTTCATAGGCATCGTTTACTTTTGAGTTAATTTATGGTTTTTGTGGTAAACTGAAGGCTTTTGTAGATAGCTCTATCAATTTTGAAATTATTTTTCCCTTTATATGTAACTGTAAAAAAGATCTGTGAGGATTTTTATTGGAATCTCATTGAGTCTATAGATTATTTTGGAAAGATTGCTGTCCTAACAATGTTGAGTCTTCCAAGCTCTGAACATGGTACAATTCATGACCAATTTCAATCCCCTTTAATTTCCCTTTGCTGTATTTTATAGATTTCAGGGCTCAAGTCTTAAATGTCTTTTGTTAAATTTAGTTTTAAAATATTTCAAAGTTCACTCAATTTTTCATATTCATTAAAAATTGAACAATTTTTAACTCCCATTCTCTAATTGTTGCCGGTATAGAAAATACAATTCGTTTTTTATGTTGATCTTGTTTGTACCTTACAACTTGGCTAAATAAAATGTATTTACTGGTTCAAGCATCATTTGTATAGATTCCTTTGCCCATTCTCCATGTTATCCTATTTTCTTCAAACACAGTTTTATTTCTTTCTTTAAAATGTGTTTTGTTTATCACTCTTATTGTACTGAACAAAATAGGATTTTAAGCATGTTTGTGAAAAGAAGCTGTGGGATCAGACATTCTTTCCTTTTTCCTGTTATGAAAAGAAAGTAGTGAGCCGTTCACCACCATCATGTAGGTTTTCATAAATCCCCTGGATCAGGTTGAAGAAGTTTGTTTTTTTTTTTTTTTTATTCTCAGTCATTGCTGAGAATTTTTATCAGCATATGGTGTTGAATTTTGTTGAATACTTCTTATGCATCTCTTGCAAACAGCATACAGTCTCTCTAACTCCTTTATATTGCTAATATCATGCATTGTGTGTATTGGTTTTCAGATGTTAAACCAACCTAGCATTTCTGAATAAACTTCACTTGGTCATGATGTATTGTCCTTTTTAGTATACTGTTAGATTTGGTTTTTTAATATTTTGTTAAGGATTTTGCAAATAGAGTGTATTTACGAGGGATATTGGCATATAGTTCTGTTTTCTTGACATGTCTTTTTTCTGGTTTAGAATGGAGATAACACTGGCCTTATTTAAGTTGTGAAAGTCCCTTCTTTATTTTCTCAAAGGATAAAATGGCTATTATTCCAGCAGTGAAGCTTAGAATTTTCTTTTGGGTTAATTGTCCATTACAAATGTAATGCCTTTAGTTAAAAAGCTGCTTAAGTTTTCTATGTCTCCTACTTTCAGCTTTGGTAATCGTAGCCTTTGTAGGAGTTTGTCCATGTTGTGCAGGGAGTCAGCTTACTGGCATAAAGTTTTCAGATATTATTCTTTTCGTGCCTGCAGCATTTATAATCGTAGCCCTCCGTGCATACATGATTTTGATAGTGTCTTTTCTTCCCTCCCTCCCTCTGTCCCTCTTCTTCCTTCTCCCCTTCCCTCCACTCCCCTCCCCTCCTCTTTCCTTTCCCTTCCCTTCCCTTCTCTTCCCTTCCCTTCCCTTCCCTCCCCTCCCTTCTCTTCCCATCACAGGAGCAATGCCTGTGAGAGAATAGGGACAGGGCCAGGTAGAGCTATCTGATTGTGATGTAGCTCTGACCCTGAGAGAAGGAGAAAGGGAAGGAAAGTTGGAGAAAGAGTTACATACTACGACACAGTCCCAGGAAGGTTGGCTAGTTTGTCAAGGCTGTCAGGGAATCATTGATCAAAAATAAGCTGTCAGGAGAGTCCCATGTCTCCCCCCACATACCCAGCCTTAGTGCTTAGTTATTAGGTGCAACCTGTGGGAACTGGGGCTTCCTTGGTGTATTTATGACAATTCAAGATTCATGAGGCACTTTGTTGTGGCTCCCACATGCTTTCCTGTGCATTCTTAATGTCCTGGGTTCTCAGTGTCTTCCTGACTAATTCAGCTCACAAAGATGACCAGTTAATACTTATTGATTGAATGAATCCTCTGAATTCCTTAGTAGTTAACAGTTTCTGGCTTACACTTGGCATTGGCTGTATATAGAATTGCCTTATATTTTAGTGCTTTTTTTTATGTTTATATATCCATATTGTTTAAAGTCCTGCTTCTTCAAGATATCTTTAAATGTCCTCAAAAACTTTATTAATTTATTAATTGGCAGTCCTCCTAGGCATGCCAAAAGGGAAAAAAAAAATGAGATTATAGTAACTCCTAACAATAATTTGCTTAAAAATAAACAGCTGAAAGCTATAAGGGCATGACATATGGAAAATGTCATGTATATATTTAACAACAAATATTTATTAAGGATCTATTGTGTGCTGGGCCCTTGCTTACATACCTGCAATTCCTAGCTCTCTGGGAGGCTAAAATGGGAAGATTCTTTGAGCTCAGGAGTTCAAGACCAGCTTGAGCAAAAGTGAGACCCCATCTCTCTCTCTTGTAAGAAAAGAAAATTTAGCCTGTATTGAGGTGGGCACCTGTAGTCTCAGATACTCCGGAACAGGAGGATCACTTGAATCCAGAGATTTGAGGTTGCCGTGAGCTAGGCTGAGGCCACAGCACTCTAGCCTAGGCAACAGAGTGATACTGTCTCAAAAAAAGAAAAGAAAGGACATTTAGGCCTACTCTCATTTAGCTGATAGGTTTTTGAAACACACACACAATAAGGATGTAAGCACACAAATAAATAGGTAGAACAGCTAAGGTTGGGAACGTACTAAATGCTAGTCCACTGAAGTTTCACTTCTCCTACACAGTTGGTTTGAGCGCGTATTAGGAAACAGAAGCATATTCATACAAAGACACGTCTAAGATGTATTATCACAAAGTTCAAAGTTGAAGAATCTATAATATATAATCATCGTATTTTCCCTCCTGGTAGAAATACCAGACCATCTTCCTGGAACACTTCTAGAATTGCGTTTCTTTCACAATGCCTTTGAAAGATAGAGATTATCTACAAGGCTTTAATAGAATTAGATTGATTTATTCATTCATTTACTCAATCTTTTCTTTATGCTCCATTACTTAGTGCTGGAAAACACAAAGATGATGAAGACACCTTCATAGTCCCAAGAGTTTAATCATATGCGTGAATGTCTATAGGTGACAATTTGCCTCTAGTATCTAGTGATTATTTGCAACTTACACTTTTCACTATGTCGACACTTTAACAACTACTTATGTGACGCAGTTGAAGCAGAATTCTGAGTGTGTAAGATATACTTTTCCCAGCCTCAAAAAATTATCTGCATTTTAACAGTAGTTCTAATATAAAATGTTTATAAATCTGGTATGGATATCTTGTACAACTTTACATTGAAATCTGTCGGAAAGCATGCTTTGGCTTTTATACCTGAAAAATAGGTCCAAGTTAATTAAACACAGATTACTTTGGAAAATTAACGCAGCATATGTAAAATAGGTTTTTGTTTTTTTTTCTTTTAGGAAAGTCTTAATAGACACCGATATTTGAATTCTTTATTTCCTAGTGAAAACTCCACTGCCTTTTATGGAATAAATCAGTTTTCTTATTTGTTTCCTGAAGAGTTTAAAGGTACAGTATAATGGTGCCATTATCTCCTGATGTTAATAACTTGTTTGCTTAACTTTGAGGAACTGTTGAGTTATAAATCTAGTCAATTGAGTAATTTATTGAACCAAGTAAGTGTCAAGTATATACCATGTGTTTACCATAAGAAAAATAAATTCATGGTTCTCTGCTAATTAGCCTTAAGAAATAAATATTTATACACATTTCCTTGTGGCTATAAAGACAATTATCTTGTCCCTTCTGCCAGTTTTCTGTACTATTTCCATTCAGGATACTTATGGTTCCCTGGGTTATGATAGAACAAATGATGTCAGTTATGCTGATTTTTATTATTGGCCTAGTTCTGTCAAACAAGTTATCGTATGTATCAGCTCCAGCCTTATTGTAGGAATGCTGCTCTTCGTAGCTTTCAGCTGAATGCAGTTCATGTTATAGAAAATCACCTATGCACACTCACAAAAAAAAAAAAAGCCTAAAATGACAAGTTTATTGGAAAGCTACTTTTTAGTTTGAAAATTTCCTCCAGAAAGAATCAATATAATATTGGTTGTCTTTTTGTTTGCTGTTTTTACTCAGCCATCTATTTAAGAAGCAAACCTTCCAAGTTTCCCAGATACCCGGCAGAATTGCAAATGCCCATCCCCAATGTGTCTTTGCCATTAAGATTTGACTGGAGGGACAAGCATGTCGTAACCCAAGTGAGAAACCAGCAGACGGTAAGTTTTGGATCATTTTTTTTTTTCTAATTATTTAAGCATTGGAAGGCATCTTTGAAGTCAGGTTCAATTAATCTTGTAGTAGAGCCCATCATTTCTCTAAGAAAATAACACCTCAAACATCCAAAATTTATGATGAAAGGAGCATCTCAGGAGGAGTGAGAAGCAGCGGTCAGAGCCCGGACTTCTATTCCTGAAGATAAACCTTCCTTGCTGTGTTCCCTCACTGAGTTCCCTGGCTGCCACCCTTTCCGGCACATGACCCAGGCAGTCTTTCCAGTGGCTGTATCCCAGACACCATGCCTTCTGTAGAATAGCAGGTGGATAGCAGGTGGAAGGCTGGAGAGGATAAATATGACTGCTGGAGCTTAAGTACTTTAGAAGGAAAACAACAGTGAAGTGAAATGGAAATGGATACATTTACCCACAGTGCGTCCAGGTCTCCTGGGTTCTCAGGCCTCATCCAGTCACCTTCATCAGAAAGCCCCACCCCATGCCCACAGGATCACTCTTCCACTCCCTGGTGCTTACAAGTGTAATCAGTAGTTGAGCTACAGTGTGACATACACATTTCTAAAAATCACCATCTGTGCAAAATTGTGCAATAAAATGACAGAGATTGTGGGAGAGATGAGATTAGGTCACAACACTTCAGAATTTAATTGATGAAGTCTTTTTTAAAATGACTGAAAAATGATAAACCTGGTAGTGCAGTTTGACACTTGATAGATGATATAGGAATATATAGGCACTGCAGTAAACATAACAGTTGATTTTGAAGAGGACCCAAGTGGGTGTTGGAAGGACTGCAGCTGTGAGTTATTCTGAAGTGGTGGAAAGAGGGCCTGGAGTCAGAAGGAAAGTGGGAGCATCAGATGTCACTTATAATGTGCGTAGTGAACCTACCTGGCTGGTAGATGTTTGAGGAGTATATGTGCTTTGCTGGCATTCCTAGCCCTCTGCATCCCACTGCTGGCAAGGAATGCCAGCCAGCTAGGGAAAGGGAGGCGCCTCAACACAGGCAGATAATCTCTGTTTGTCTGCAGTTCTATGCAGTGAAAAATCTCAGCAGGTCATTCAGCCTCCACTGCACAGGAATTGTTTGGACCTAACGCTTTCTCAGAGAATGCCTAGTTAGAACGATCTTTTAAACTTCTCAGATTCTTCATTATTGGGCATCATTAAATTTTACCACCAAATTATTTGCTTTATTATTGGATTCATAACATTACATGTGATCCTAAACATAAATCCAGTCCCTCCCCAATTGTCTACAGTGTAGATAGGAACTTTTAATTAGGCATCTTTCATTACAGGAATAGACTAGAGAGAGGGATTTTGTTGTTGTTGTTGTTGTTGTTGTTTGTTTTTTAGCAGGAACTTCCCTCATGGCTTGAATAAAGCTAGCTAAAGATACAGTGTCAGCACCCTATATTCACCTTTGTCAAGGTTTGGAGACTCCAGACGGCCACCTAGTAAATATTTTACTGTGCCGTATGCACTAGAGGTATAGACCTAAAAATCCTCCTCTGTTCTCTGCCTTTTCTGTGAATCCTTCTTCCTTTTACATGGTCCCTAATTCCATTCCCTTTGTCTACTCCATTTCTTTCAGGACCAGCCCTTCTATCCTTTGCTCTAGCTTATCAAATAAAAGCAAGTTAATAGTTCCCAAAGTAGCAGGATTGGCAGGCAGTGTTCGAGGAATGATTAATGTGAGTTGGTATCATCAGGGCATTTCATGAGCATCCACAGTGTGCGTACTGAATAGGTACCTGCTGGCATCTTGATAACCCCAAAAGTAACTCCTTCAGCTCCTGTTTTCCTCAAATGATGAGTACAGCACACATCCTCTCCCCAATGACTTCCACCCTTTGGATGGAGATGGTACAGGACCATGGAAGCACGGTGTCCAGAGAGAAGCAAGGGGGACTGAGAGTCACACACCCCAGTAGAGAAGCCACTTACAAAGAGAAGTTACGTGCTCAATGAACTGACTAGTGTTTTATAATATCATCAGGCCCAGCGCAGTGGCTCTGCCTATAGTCTGAGCACTTTGGGAGACAGAGAGGGGAGGATTGCTTGAGCCCAAGAGTTTGAGATTATAGTGAGCAATGATGACACCACTGTGCTCCAGCCTGAGTGACAAAGTGTGACCCTGTCTCAAAAAAAAAAAAAAAACTGTCAGAGACTCCCAGTGTTTTCTCAGTCTCTAAAAGTTCACTTTGATTTTGCATTTTCTAGTTTGCAAATAGTAACATTACTAATTTAACATTAATAATTGAATGTTGATGCTCACAAGAGACTTTGGGGTTTTCTTTCTTTTTTTTTTCTTTCATCAGTTTGAAAATCTAGAAAGTAAGCATCTATATTTTGTATTTTCACGACCCTTTATTTGATGACTCATTATATTTGGAGATATTAGCAAATTGATTTAGGCACTATTTGGTAGTAACTACCACCCCCTTTTCTGTTTGTGAACAGTGTGGAGGATGCTGGGCCTTCAGTGTGGTCGGTGCAGTAGAGTCTGCATGTGCAATAAAAGGAGAGCCCCTGGAAGACCTAAGCGTGCAGCAAGTCATTGACTGTTCCTATAATAATTACGGCTGCAATGGAGGCTCTACCGTCAATGCTTTGAACTGGCTAAACAAGGTGACTAGTCGCCCAGCTTTTTAAATACTTAATTTCCTCATTTGCTTGTTTACTGTGTGTTCAGAATTCAAAACTTTCACATATTAAATAATTCAAATTCAGGAATTGAGGTGACGAAAGCTTGAATTAATTAGAAGATTTAAAAATCAATTGCTACCAGGCAAATCCATCATCAAGAAATCAAAGGGTGAAAATCCTATCTGAGATTTGTCTTCAGAAAAACATGTATCTTTACTTCTTAACATTTCTTAATCATTGGATTTTTTTATTGCAGATACATATCACATAATGCCCCAGAAAGATGAGAGTGTATGATTGTTTTCTTAGAATTTCTGAATATTGAGGCCAGAATGGATGTTAGCGATCATGTAATGTGGTAGCTTTTTATATAGATGAGGAAAGGAGACCTGAGAGGTGAGACAGTGTTGGCAAGTCAGTAGCTGAGCCAGAACTGCACCTTCCGTCCCCTGCCTCCCACAGCAGGGCTTCTCTCAGCCGGCCAATGCCCCTCAGTGCTTTTAGGACTGTCTCTAACATTGTCCCAGATACAACAGCAATGCATGAAATCTGCCAGTGAGGGCGCTATTTAGTTTTGTAGAAAGTTATCAAATGGGGGTTGTGGGGGTCCTCTACTGGGATGGAGAGCCCACCACTTCTAATCTGAAGATTATTCTTGGTTAAGCACCAGGGGTGGCAAGAAAAGCTTCATCTTTCTCTGTAGTACCCCTTTTAATTAAAGGATTTGTTACGGTAAATTTGCATTCAGGAAAAAGGGCGCAGTTAAGGACCAGGAAGGCCACAAGTTTCCTTACAGGGGTGGGGTCCCTAACCCCTGATGTCATAAAGAGAAGTGATAGAGAGCAGTGCTGACCATAAACACTGGAAAGTCTCAGAAACTTGTTAACACAAAGGCAGAACCCCTGGAAGGAACATGTGCTGCTCTGTTGTACCTGCAGGAGAAAGATGACCAGACTTTATTATCAGATAGATGAAGGTTCAAGGAAAAGAAGGTTATACAAACACAGAAGTAAAAAAGAAAGAAAGATATTGATGCTAAATGTTTAGGATGTCAAAGACAAGCACCTAAAGATTTAGTTTACAATAAAACCCAGAGTATGGCCACTATGGAGGCATAGTGAAATTGAACCTATTTTGATGCATTGAAGTTGGTTCTGTTTGATTGTTCTGTTTATCTTGGATAAATGTTTTCTTTCAGATGCAAGTAAAACTTGTGAAAGATTCAGAATATCCTTTTAAAGCACAAAATGGCCTTTGCCATTACTTTTCTGGCTCACATTCTGGAATTTCAATCAAAGATTATTCTGAATATGATTTTAAGTAAGTATTTTATTCCATTTTTTTTCCTATGTGTTTTTAAGCTGTGATCTATTAAGTATTAGGAGTTAATAACTTGATTGAAGGCATCACTGTGTACTCTTAATTGTTTAAAAACTTGTTACTAAGGAGATTAATTGGTAATTGCAATGGAGTGTTATAAAGTTTTTCTTAATCTACTTATCTTTCTGTATGTCATTATAGTAGTAACAACAAATTTAAATCCAGTTGATGATATGTTTTATATTTACCCCCTTTTTTTAACCAAATTTATGTGTTATAATACCACTTGGATATTTCATTATTAATGTTGAGTCAATTGAAAATTGTTTCGTATAACTTTCCTGCTAATATCAAGCAACCTTCCTACCAAGAAACATTTTTTTCAACAACGTCTGTGTTCCTCACATTTTTCAAGTTATCAGCCATAAGAAAAAGGTATATCAAAACTTTCAAATTAAGTGAAAGAGAGAAGAATATACTACTGCAGATAAATTTTGTAGTACACATTATAGGCACAGTGAGAGTTCAGGGATAGAAAAATACAGGCTGAGGAAAAGAATCTTGTTGTCACTGAAAGACAGGATAACTTTGGCTAAGTTCAGGGGAAACATTCATTAAAAGTGCTTTAAAAACAGAGTAGAAACACATTATAAACAGAAGCATTATGTTCCATTGATATAGTGAAAATAAGTGTTCAGGGATGAAAAAAACAGAAAAACTTAACAAACTCTTGGCTTCGTTTAATATGTATACATATAAACTTGAGTTGGGCAAGATGGCAGAACAGAAGGATCATTCAATTGAGCTTTCCTAGTCCTGGGGAAAAAGAGAGAATTCAGCCATACCTGACATGGAGACCTTCCCTGGAGTCATGGCTTAGGGAGCACAGCAAGAAGGTGGTGAGATGGATACAGCATGTAATCCGGAGCGGTGGAAATCTGATGTTTTAGGGAAATGATTGCAACCTGCTGTGATCAATTGCCCCCCTACCCCCACTGTGGAAGTCCAGAACAGGATAAAGCCCTTCCAGCGTTTTCAGTATTGGGGGAAGTTGCATGTTGAGCAGAAAGCTTGGAAGAGCGGGCAGACTCAAACATTATACAGCAACCAGGTTTGAACATTGGTTGGAGTGGATTTGTCATCAGTTTGGTGGTTGGCAAGGCAGCCATATTGAGAAGGTCTCGAGGGCCAGGGATCTGCCATTTGGGGAAGGTTGTGAGAAGGTTTTAGCAGTGGTCTAAAGTATGGCCATCTTAACTCCATCTGCTAGGATCAGAACTCCACTCTTGGGACAGGCTGAGGGACCTCCCACCCCATGGGAACTGTTGTCAGGGTGCACTGTGAGACCCTCCCCTGAAGCATTCTGGAGAGCTTTTAAGATCCCAACCTCGGCTCGGCACCTGTGGCTCAAGCGGCTAAGGCGCCAGCCACATACACCTAAGGTGGCGGGTTCGAATCCCCAGCCCGGGCAGGCCAAACAACAATGATGGCTGCAACCAAAAAATGGCCAGGCGTTGTGGCGGGCGCCTGTAGTCCCAGCTGCTTGGGAGGCTGAGGCAGGAGACTCGCTTGAGCCCAGGAGTTGGAGGTTGCTGTGAGTGTGATGCCATGGCACCCTACCCAGGGGGATAGCTTGAGGCTCCGTCTCAAAAAAAAAAAAAAAAAAAATCCCAACCTCATGAGGCTGAATGCTAAGTAAACAATCAGGTGGTCACTGAAGGCAATTAAGTAAGGAATAAGTACCATAGAGGTTGATGGTTATGTTCTCAATGTCCTAACGAAACCAAAGTGCTACCTAGTGTCCTGGTGACATATTGCAAAATATATATTCTTATTAAAGTTGGTCTCTTCTGCTATATATATATTATTTTTTTTAGTATTTTTTTATTTGTATTTGTATTTTTTTTTAGCTTTCTTTATTCTTTTTTTTTTTCTTTTCTATATTGCTGAAGTTGTTGTAGTTTTTGGCTGTTTGAGATTTTTTTGTTTTGTTGTGTTTTGTTGTTGCTAATTTGTATGGTTGATTCTGTTCTTAACTTCCATTTTTACTTTCATCAAGAGTAAGGACTCCTGTATTTTTGGTCATGAGAAATAGTTTGGCTGTGCTCAGGCTGGTCCAGAGCTCCTGATTTCAAAGAACCCTCCCAGCCCAGCCTCTCAAAATCCTTGAATTACAGGCATGGATTTTGAAAATCGATACTGATCTTCTATCAGTATCATTCTCTCTTCTTGTTATCATTCTCTCTTGTTATCCAACTCTTTTCTTTCATCCTCCTTCCTCTTTTTTCCTTTTCTTTTTCTCTTTCCTTCTTTTTTCTTCTTTTCCTCTGGATTCTCTCTGCTTGCTCTTTGCCCTTCTCTTCCTTTTGACTTAATTCTGTGGGAAGGTAATTTGAAGCAAAGGAGGAAGCAAGAAGGAAAAAGGACAAGGAAGTGAACAAGTAGAAAGACCACATGAGGAGAAACCAACATAAAAAATTGGGCAACTTGAAAAACCAAAACAGAGCAACTCCCCAAAGGGACCATGGGACAGCTACTGCAGAAGACTCCACCTATAAGTAATTAATGATTTCCAAGAAAAGGAATTTAAAATATGGATGATAAAGACAATAAAAGGAATGGATGAGAAAATAGAAAGACAGAATCAAAAGTCAAACAAAAGATATGTAGAATATAGAAAGAATATGGCAGACCTTAGGGAAATGAAGGCAAGAATGTAAAAAAGAGACCAACTTTACATTCAGGGAATGTAAAAATGTACTGGAAAGTATCAAAAATAGGTTAGACCACAGAGAACAGAGAATTTCAGAACTAGAGAATAAAGTGTTCTAGTTAACCCAGGAAGTAAAAGAAGAAGAAAAGACGAGAGTAAAAGCAGAAAGCTACAAAACTCTGTGAAGCATTCAAAGATATGACTAATAGGGATCCCTGAAAAGGAGAGAAGATTGTCCCAAAGGAATGGTAGGCCTATTGGAGATTATCGTAAATAAAAACTTCCCACATTTTACTAAAGACCCTGACACACTCCTTTCAGATGGATATTGAACCCCAGGAAATCTCAACTCAAAACAGAACTTCTTCAAGACACATTGTAATGAACCTGTCCAAAGTCAAGATGAAAGGAAAAATTCTTTAAGCAACAAGAAGTAAGAGCCAAATGACCTACAGAGGGGATGACAGCAGACTTTTCAACTGAAACTTTCCATCCACCTTCAACATTCTTAAACAAAATAATGTTTAGCCCAGAATTCTGTATCCAGCTAACCTAAGCTTCAAAATTGGTGGAGAAATCAAATCTTTTGCAGATATACAAGCACTGAGGAAATTTGCCACAACAAGACCAGCTCTATAGGAAATACTTAGACCTATTCTCAATACTGACCATCATTATGGACTGCCAGCAAACTAAACACCCAGAAGCTAAAGGTCAAATCTTAGCTTCCACAGTGGCACAAACAATAAAACTACATAATGGAATTTCACAAAATAAGATGACTAGAACTGCAGTTCTCTCAATAAATGTCAGTGGATTGAATTTACCACTGAAGAGACACGGGCTGGCTGATTCGATGAAAACTCACAAGCCATCCATATGCTATCTCTAGGAAACACACATGGCTTTGAAGGACAAATCAAGACTCAGGGTTAAAGGATGAAAGCAAATGGAAATCAGAAGAAAGGAAGGGTTGAGATCTTATTTTCAGATTTAAGAGTATTTAAAGTAATAAAAGTTAAGAAAGACAAAGATGGACACTTTGTACTGGTAGAAAGAAAAATACAATAAGAAGACATTTCAATTTTAAATATTTATGCACCCAACTTAAATGCTCCCAGATATATGAAATAGACCTTGATATGTCTGAGCAATATCACATTCTGTAACACCATAATAGCCAGGCACTTTAACCCACTTCTGTCAGAACTGAGTAGATCCTCTAAACAGAAATTAAAGATACAAGGAACTTAAATTTGACCCTAGAACCAATTGGATTAATAGATATATACATATATATATATATATGCTGTGTTCTGTATATATTATATTATGTTAGTATAGTATGTTCTGTATATATTATATATTATGTTAGTATGGTATTATATAAGATTATATATAATGTATATAAAATAAATATAATATTATATATGTGATGGGAATTTTGTAGCTTTTTTGAACAGAGAAAATAGAGGAACTGAACTAAATTTGGATAAGGTAATAATGCCTGTTACTTACTGATAATGAATATAAAACAATCCCTTGATCCAGATGGTATTTATCCATGGGAACTGAAGGAAACCAAGGGTGAAATTGCATCCTTGAACAAACTGTAACCCTTTTAAATGAGCATAATTATGCCATTGGACTGTCAGATTATGAGCACAGCAACAAAGGGCCTTGGGGCGACCCTAGGAACTGTACACCAGATAGCCTTAGTTCCACAGCTGGCAGGCTGTGGGTTTGTAAGAAAATGTTCAGGGTCACTGAGCACATTGGTTAACAGCTCCTTTGGGGGTGTGGGTAATGTGCTTTCTAAAATGAGGAAGTGTGTCTGTATAAGCCATCAGTTTCTTGAGAGTACAATGGAAGAATGTACATGAGAAGAAATTCGATTTTCAAAGTATCAGTAAAGGGAATTCAGGGAATCCCTTGTTATGACAGGAAATTGAAAAACAATTAGGAAAAAGCAAAAAAAAAAAGGCATTAGTTCGAATTAGGAGAGGGAGCTGATTATATTAGACTACAAGAATATCTTTTTTTGATTGATTGATTGATTCATTCATTCATTCATTCATTCAAATATTTACTGAATTTCTTTGGGTTCTGAGTATTTGGCAGTGAACAAAACAGATAAAACTCAATGCACATTTTGATAGTATAATAGTTCTATACTTGGCTCATAATGGCCATAAAAATGTTGCAATATATTTTAACTTATTAAAACCTAAGATCTTTCTGAAAGACAAGTGATAATGTCACTTAATTCAGAGGACAATTGGAAAACTTGTCTCCTGGTTATGTCTTAGATTGCCATCCTATTTATTATTTTCCATTATCATTTTTATCTTTTCCTCAGCTCTAGCTCAACATAGGGATGATTACTCAATTGTGTCTTTGATCTGACAATGTTAATTATCCTTTACATTTTAAAAAATATTTCTCCTCCATCTTTCTGCTTCTCTCATTGTGTCTAACTCTGTCTTCGGTGTGACTTATGTATAGTAATGCTTTTGTTTTCTTAAATGGATGGAGACAACTGTGTTCTAGTTAATACAGAGATGATTACATAAACCATGTTTAAATTCTAAAATATTCAAAGAATTTTAACATAATAAAATAGACCTGATATACGCTAACTCCTATGATTAGCAAATTAATTGTTAGATATCTTAGAAATGAGGAAAGGAAAACGTTTTATTGCAAACCTAGAGTATAACTATGTGCTAGATATACTACATAATTGCTATCCTGCAGAATTACATCATATAATTTTATCTTTATTGATTCTTCATGGTAGCTGGCATGACTGCAGTGTCCAGCTGGAATTTGATCCCAGTTGTGGGAAAATTCAAAACTTATCCAAATGTCTTTTAAAAATGCTACAATCTTGCCCATCTCAGGGTAATTTTAATAATACCAATCATTATTATAGCAGGAAAAATTAGAATTATTTGCTTACTGATCTTCAAACTACAGAACTTCATGATAATGGGCAACATAAATAAATATTTTAAAAATGAATATATAGTTTCCATTTCAACAAATTCCATTGTTATGCATTCAAAGTTTTGCTCACGTGTGAACAAAATATTCCCTTGCTAGAAATTAGTCTCCAGCTGGATATTATGAGCGATTATTTACCCTTACAAGCCACCAATCCAACTACGACTTTGCTATAGCAATAAACTACCAAATGCTATCTTAATGGCCTGAACTGTCAGTAACTTGGTTTCAGTGTCAGTCAGCCACAGAGCTGAACTTTGAAATATGTAAATAATGGTTTGATCATATACTTTTTTTTTTTTTGGCAGTTTTTGGCCAGAGTCTGGGTTTGAGCCTACCACATCTGGCATATGCGGCCAGCGCCCTACTCCTTTAAGCCACAGGTGCTGCCCTGATCATATACTTTTAAGATCGATGAAAAACAAATGTATAATGTAAGACTTTATTGGTAGACATCTATGTGTAAAAATAATATTGTGTATTTTTCAGTCTTCACAATCTAGCACCTCGTTCTCCTTATTTCTTAACATTTCTTCCTTTCAGTTACTTTGGGGTAGCCTTTTCCCTTTATTTGACATCACTAATGTAAATTGGCCAGTCTCTTGATTAACACTTTGTGGCAGAGATGACCAGGGATACCCAAATATCCAGTCTTCCACTTGCTACAAGAATCTCTACATTGTAACTGGGTACTTTTCCAGCCAGCTACAAAATTTATTCACCATCTTCCTTTAAGCCAGACTTAGCAATATGACTAAGTTCTGGTAAATGAGATCCATGCAAATATATGCAGAAGTATTATGTGTTACTTCCAGCAATGTTTCTCAACAGAGATGTACACTTCTCCTTTCTGTTTCCTGCTGTTTAAAATACGTCTAAAGTGTCTGGAGCCCCAGCAGCGATTTTGGGACCATGAGCAAACCTCAGGAAGGAAAACTTACAAAGCAGAACAATGATATAGAAAAGTCCTAGGTTCCTGATAGTCCAAAGCCCATACCTGTTCAAGACTCACAATCTCTCAGACTTCTTTTAGCCTCTATTATTTCTGTCTTTTTTAATTGCAATCACACCTACTCATAATGATATTCAAATAGATAATTTTTATTTTTACCTTTTTTTGGTAGTGAGCAGGAAGATGAAATGGCAAAAGCACTTCTTACTTTTGGCCCTTTGGTAGTCATAGTGGATGCAGTAAGCTGGCAAGATTATCTGGGAGGCATCATACAGCATCATTGTTCTAGTGGAGAAGCAAATCATGCAGTTCTCATAACTGGTTTTGATAAAACAGGTAAGTATTAAAAAGATCCAGGTGATTTCTTTCCAACTTGAATTCTGAATGCCAAATGATTCACCATTCTATAGAATGTTGGACTTTGTTTCTGCTGTGTCCAAGTCCTCATAAGACCTTCATAACTTCTCAGTAATCTTACAAATGTAAATATCTAGTAAGGTTCCACCCATCATTTTTTTGATGGATACAGAGTTAAAATGATGATAATTTTGGTTTAAATAATGTGCATTCTCCATCCGGAATATTTATATGATAATTGTTGGAAAAAGAGAAGTGCTTACTGTTTGATCACACATATTTAACAATTCTCTTCCTATTTTTTTCTTTTCTCGATTCCTCAGAAACGTCTATATGTGTTTATTTTTTTCAGTCCTTGTGTTAAGCAAAATGAACTGAAACATACATTTCTACTAACTGGAGTGTGACACTAAGCACAGCTCAGGTTGACCTTATTTAAGCATGACTTTACATGTATAATCTTTCTCTCAAGGCTGCTGTACTTAAGTATACCCAGTTTTAAATAAAGAAACTGATATATTTGTAGGAAATACGAATGCTCAAGGATGGTTTCCACTTTGTTTTGTAGGAAGTACTCCGTATTGGATTGTGCGGAATTCATGGGGAAGTTCATGGGGAGTAGATGGCTATGCCCACGTCAAAATGGGGAGTAATATCTGTGGTGAGTCATGAACTTGTGTTCAGAACTTCAGGCTAAATATCAAGGAATATTCTTTGAATGTATCAAAAATACATACCTATCTAATTTATAGTACTCTTCCAATTTACTCAAATCATTTTTTGTAATAACGATTTTTATCAATACAAGAGTATCTTAAAAAGATACACTAATTAACATATTCATATTTTTAAAATAAGAGATTATATTAAAAATTGTGTAATTATATAAATATATGTATGAAGTAATCATTTACCAAAGTTAACTACTTTAAAAATCAGGTTAACACTCACTTTAGGGTTCTGAACTTCTCTGGTAATAATTTCTTCCTTCTCTCCTTCCTTCCTTCCTTCCTTCCTTCCTCTCCTTCCTTCCTTCCTTCCTTCCTTCCTCTCTTCCTTCTTTTTTTCCTTCCTTCCTTCTTTTCTTCTGCATTCCCAGAGACAAAGCACTCAGCAGTCACTGGGTAGTCTGCAGGCAAGAAATGTCTTTTTGTTCAACATTTATATTTTGTAACTTATTTGTGTATTATAGTACCTGGTCAATGATTATTAAGAATAAGTTTTCTTTATTTCAAAATATATGAAAATCTTAACAATAGTGTTATTTCTACATATTAACAATGTGCTTCTGGTCACCTGCAAAATTCTAGCAAACCATCCACCATAATTGAGAGGCTTAGGCAAACTCTAAACATGGTATTCATTTTTGTTGAATAGCAGTTTTTTAAATTAATCACAGACCTAACTAAACCATTTTTGTCTGTATTCTAAAACCCATATTTAAACTTATAATTCTAATTTTTTTGGTCTAGAAAATCAACTTACTTTTCGAATCAAGCCAAAGCAAACATAAATTGCATTTTATGCCTCATTACACTTTGTTCCAGAACATATACAGTTGTAAATAATTGCAGAAGCTTCCATATTGTGACACTTAAAAACGAGAGTTATAGGAAAATTTGAGATGTGATTTAGTGAATATTGTCCCATCATTCCATAAAGTAGAATCCATGAGAGTTAATAAATTCTCAAGGAAACGATTTTCAAAAACTGTTCATTGAAAAGGGTCAACATGTCAGAAATCTTTTGGCCAGAGCACTAGCAACCCAATCAGACCCCTGCTTTTCAGCATCACTGAGGGTTTGCACAGCTTTGGAACTTGAGATAAATTACTGCTGCCTTTCCCTGAACATCTGCTAGTGAACATAGTTTATCTAACTGTGAACTGTGGTCCCTGGATTTGGGCTGGGGGCTGGCTGTTTTCAAAGCTCTGACAGGAGAGGTGTGTGAACAAATTAAATAAATCAGGTATTTGCTTAGATGAGAATTACCTATCCTTTATTCTTTGCCACAATCTTTCCCTGACACTCAGCTACTGAGGGTGAGTTGAGACAATTTCTTCTCCCTATCAACTTTCACAATTGGAGGCTGTAAGGGCCAGATGGGTTATTAATTACACAGGGATCCAAATTCTTCCTGAAAGTGTTCATTCCCTGTAAGACACATATCTGATGGCAGCCATATTACTCCTATGAGCAATTGTATCAGGCAGTAGTATTCTTTTTTTTTATTAAGTCATTTGTACATAGATCATAAATACATTTATGCTACTATGAGATTCAACATGTTGATTATTTGTACAAATTGAAGTGCTTACATCCTACTAATCAACATAGCCTTCACCTCATTTACTCAATTACAGGATTAAGACATTTGTGTTCTACACCTGATAGATCCAACTTGTACTTGCAATATGCTCCATAGGTGTGGTCCCCCTACTAACCCTCCCTCTATCGACCCACCCCCCTCTTTTCCCCTCTCCCTCCCCTTCCTTCCTTTATCCTAGGCTATAGTTGTGTTTCATTTTTCATATGCAAGTGTGAGTGACTGTAAATTGGTTTCACAGTAGTACTGAGTACATTGGAATTTTTTTTTTCCATTCCTGAGCTACTTTACTAAGAACAGGCAGTAGTATTTTCTAGCCCCAAGAGATTTCAAAGATGTGGTTAATTATAGTGAAGTCCATCTTCAGATAGACGATTAATTGCTTTCATCATGATGTTCAGATCTATGTTCTTGTGTATTAACAAAACATAGCACATTTGTGCTTTATTGAAATTATTCTTGAGTTCAAATCTTAGAGTTTGAATTAAAAAATTATATTTAAAATAATCTTATAAGTTATTTTGCCTCTAAGAAATGTAGATTAGTGCAATATAGGTTTCAGAATCATTCACTTATTTAGTTAGGTAGTTTTTATTATAAACTTTTTTTTTTTGAAATCTTTTTAGTTTCTCATGTGACAAAATTTTTCCAATATCTGCTTTTGATGATGTCCTGTTACACTGACAGGTAGTAATAACTAGTACATTATTTTTCTAATAGATAGCCTTTCTGAACCCAAATCAAAATTAAGTTTTAATTTATTACTTAAAAGGTGTCTAAAGAGGAAATAGACTAGTACTAATAATTTCTCTTTTCTTCCTGTAGGTATTGCGGATTCAGTTTCTGCTGTATTTGTGTGATACATGGGGCAGGTGAAGAGAGAACTACAAAAATGAAGGATTTCATAACACAGTGTAATGTCATACTTCATCATAAGTCTTATTCAACGTCAGGCTTCAGTGACTGCCTACAAACGATGCTAGGGCCTGGGAGTATTGAAACTAAGTTGTAGGATGTTCCGATCGTGTAGAGAGAAAGCGATGTCTAGAGCAAGGACCCACCACCAGCCCCGCAGCCTGCAGGGAAATCTGTGGACCGGTTTCCTACGCAGAGGAGGAAGGTCAGAGTAGGAGATATTTTAGGCCCCTCCCACTTGAAGAGACACTTGTTTGGTTTTGTTTCCTTATTATCTGTTTGCTTGCTTATTTGTTTCTAATGAGATTCTTCAGATGGGATCACAGAGGTGGTAAGAATTTCTTTTCTTTTCCAGGATACAATCGTTAACCTTAGATTACCCCTCTAGGCGTGAAGGGCCAAACTAAAATTAGGTGTGCCTCACACAACGGCAAGAGCAGCCCCTGGATTTGGAACATCAAGCGCTTTACCTCGACAAAGAGTGCTTCGTTAGCCCTGGAGTAGCAAAGTGACCGTGGAGGAGAAAACAAAGGCAAAATCGCTTCTTAGTACAAACAGTTAAATGGATAGAAACCAAATCACCAATATGGCAACTATGTAATCAGAAATCTCCAGTAGCATTCGTGAGAGACATAGTCTTTGGAAATTGTCATTGCTGATAGGAAACCCACACATTTTCGTTCTTCACTCCCCCCCTCCCGTATTAAAGAGGAAAGTATGACGTCACATTTCCACCCACTTCCTCTTCCACCCAGTTTTCCTACTGCTTTGGCTCCCCTGACCAATGAATTAAGTTTCACTTTTACTTTCTAGTTCTGTTTTCTAGCTATTTTCTCGGCTCCCTTTGTCTCTGTGCCTTTACCAACATAAGACTCTCACCTCCAGCTTTCTCCGGTGATTTGTGAGCTCCACTTTTTTCAAAGTTCAGTCTCTTAACCTGGGCAGAATGCCAAAGTGTGAGCTCCCTAGCCTCTGTAGCCCCGTTTTCTCCTTGGATTTTTGGGTCTCCAGTCCTGACTGCTTCTGGTTCACCTGTTCTCGCTTTCACTTGGCTGTCAGTCATGGTGCCTGTGTCTCTTGCGTCATTAATTGCGTGGGTGATTTCAGGTGCTAGGACACAAGTGCAGTTTTGATAAACTTGCATCCTTAGCGGAAATCAGTCATCCTGGACACAAAGAAGGGACACTTTGTTCTCTTCGTATCCTGCATTCCAGGAACATAGCCACTTATTCCATTGTCCTGGAATGACCTTACAAAGAACAAAGGTACAGCATATTAAGTAAGTTAATACAGGAACTTCATTTCAAGGACTACATGTATCAACATTACTTCTCTAAAGTTCTTCATTATTTCCCGACATAAAATATCTGAACAAAAATAAAACTTAGGCTGCAGATGCCACTAAAAACATTGAAGGCGATCTCATTTTTTTTCTCTGATTTTTTTGCCCTTTATTCTTCCCCTTTATTGGAAAAACAGAATGCTGTGTTTATTTTTGTACACCAACCTGAACCAATCTCAGTATGTGCTGACTCGGGTTTTAGAGATACTCCAGGAAGACAAATACTGACATTTTTGTTCTAGTGTGTGTTGTTACTGACTTTGTACATGATATAAATGCTTTCCTAAAATTCTTTTTCAAATGTTAAAGGATTTCTAATGTCTCAAAATGATTAAAACCTCACAGATGTTCTGGGTTCTGATGACTTTATAATAAAAACAACCTATATTTGACTTTGGTTTAAAAAGCATCTGTCCTGAATTGTGTGGCCTCCTTTTCATCAACTTAGTATTAATGTGCCTTATATTCATGCAGACTTTTTTCAGCTCTACATCCATAAATCCAATTTCTGGTTGTCTCCACAGACACTTAACCTCAATGTCTCCAAAGCACCATTCATCACCCTTCCTGCCCCCATCCCCCAAAAAGCCGCCTTCACCTCCTGGGACCTCTATTTTGATTAACAGCATAGCATTATATAATCACCCAATCAATAAAATCAAGAGGAATCCTGGATATTTGATGAGGTGAGCTACACCTTGGTAAGCCATCCCGCCGTCACTGATCTCCTGTTTCTATGGTCCTTCTTAGATGCATGTCCAGTAGTGTCTCTTGTTTCCACTGATCAGTCATCTACTCAGGAAACTCCATGTCCTTTCATCTAGGAGTTCTCAAAGTAAAGTCCCCCAACCAGAAGCCCAGTGATTTGGATGGATGTTATAAACCATCTATTATATTTACCCTGAATGTACTTTTCTCAAAGACATCATCATACGTCATTCTTCTGTTTGAAAACATTCAGGGGCTCCTATTAAGGTAACATGCAAACTCTTGTAAGTGAGCTTTTGTGAAGTAGTCCCTCTCTCCCTTTTCAGCCCTGATTGCAGCTTTACTGCCTGGGGATGTATTGAGCTCCAGCCATAAAACTGTTGACGTCAGAGCAATGAAATCTTCCAATGATTATGAGGCATAATGAAAGTCACCAACATGTTCCTGGATATGTTCTCACAAAGATCTAAAGTGAATACTAAATTAGTCAACTTTACAGTGATTTTCTAACCCACTAAAGAATTACAATTTAATGTGGATGGTCAGCACTGCAAACATGAATGGGGCGAGGGTGGGAACTGACATTATAATTTCTTTTGATGTTTACATTAAGAATTGCTAGCATATCCTTTGAAAAAACTCTTCGAACGATATAGTTTAATCACACCAAGAAATATAGCTGTATAAACTAAATCAAATAATATACAAAAAGAATGACACAGAGCATTTGTTCCAATATTCCAAAGTATTTTGGTGGCAGAACATCTAGTAACATATATTTTTTGTGTGGAGAAATAGTAAAGATTATGAAGTAATCTTCAAAGATTATGAAGTATCATAATAGTAAAGATTATGAAGTAAGTACTTCTATCTTTATACAGATAGGAAACCAGGTTTCAACTGGAGTTTGTACCAGAGTAGACAGTTATAAGTAGAAGAGCCAGAATTTGCTCTCAAGTTTGCTGATTTCAAACTAGTGCCCTTAGCCACCATGAAATTTGCCTCTATTTTTTCAGCATAACCACCGTCGGATACTCAGGATGTTACTGAGGCAAGAACAAGTGTATTCACTCTAGAGTCAAATTAGACGACACAAGCCTTACAAGAAAAAAACGTGTAATTGAAACAGAAGAGTAGTTTGATTTTTTTATCATGAATTTCCTTCTTGCTATCCGGAATCACTCAAGGTCAAAGTTAATGTACATTTTAGATTCCTTTGATAACACTTTTTACTCCCTCCCATAAGAGAAATTTAACCCAATTTTTGCCAATATCCTGATTAAGCTAGACAAAGAAAACTAAAACTATCGACTTTTAAGCTTGATCTAAACGCTTAGTCTAATACTTTTTATTAGAAATGAATTGGACCATTTGTTAATCAGTTTACCTCTCCTCCTTCTGGAAAGAACATTCCCCTCTGAGGGAACTATTAGTTCTTCATAGCTCAGTTCTGCCATGCCTTGGAGTTGTCTCTCTCTACAGCCTGCAGGCATGGGAGCTGGGGGGAAAGAAGCTTTGCCTTTTTGTGAGTGAGAAGGTGTTGGAAGCTGGACCTCAGCCTGAAGAAAGAGCTGTTGTTCTACTACATGAAAGAATACAGCGATCCCTGCAGAGAAGAGCTGAGACAAGCCTCCTCACAGTGTTCTAGGAGTACAGTATTCCCCAAAATGGGGCCCTTCTCCTTTAAGCCTATTCAGACAATGGTTCTGTGAATTCTGTGAATTACTAATCCTGCAGTCAATCCCCTTTCAGCAAGCTTCAGATAAAGAGTCCTAACAACTATAAGCGATGCTTGTACAACAACACAGGGCAAAAGATTAATTTTTATTATTTGAAAAATTCTGTTTGAATACGCCTTTAGGCAGAAGGGTACATTTTATGGCGCAAAATATTCGAAGTAGCTGATGTTTACAAGCTTATAAAGTATAAATCAATGAGGTAATGATTATATTAAGTGGTTACATTAAGGTAAGTATCAGAGTAAATTGAATTTTTAATAGGAAACTGCCTATGTACAATGTTACAATTTAACTAAATTATTTCTCACTTTGATGCTTAATCTTCGACCATCACAAGCATGAGGTAATCAAATTATTTCCAGAGTTGACTGAGAACATGGTGGTGCTGACCTATATATATATTGATTAGTTTAAGACGCCATGTGTTCATGGAAGTACATAGAAAGTAAAAGCATAAAAATCAATATTCTTCAAAAATTTGGCAGATGATCTTAATCTGAGTCGTCACTGCTGAAGTAAGAGCTGTCACAGTATTCTGCAGTGTAGAGGAATTTGTGAATGGTTGGATTCATCTTCGGCAACCAGTGTCGGGGAACCATGTATGTCGAAAGGTTAAATAAATCTACAAATACCTTGTACCTGTCACTGGAAAAACACATACATGAAAATGTTACAGATTTGTTGACATGCAATATTTAAAATTTTCTATTAAAAAATTTTATTTCTCGGTTATTTTTCATAAATAATTGTATGCATAATATAAATTGCATGTCGTACATGTTATATATACAGTAGCACATCCACAGCTGACCACCTCCTTATACTGAACCCCTCCTTCAGTTGACCTGATTTCATAGGCCGGACATGCATCGCATGTATGTATCAGTACAATAGGCCTCATTCCTTACATTGACCACCTCCATGTGTTGCATAGTTTGTTAAAGACCACTGGGTGGTCAACTTATAGAAGCCCTACTGTTTGTATAAAGTTAGGTATTATATAGTATTAGTTTAAGATTCCCTAGTTTTTATTCCATATCCAGAGTTCATGCCCCTAAAATAGTAATGTATGTTTGGTTGATCCAGATCAGGGTGGTCCAGATTATAACCTACAGTCTTCTTACTGCCATGCTACTTTCATAAAGACAAGGATGTGTCCTGACTTCCTACTTCTAAAGGATACCATGCAAAGTGACAAATTTAAAGCCAAAAGAATTTTACTTGGTCATGGAAAAATATTTTCCAATGGCGAAGTAGCTGTCCCATAGCCACTATGAAGGGATTGAAGTGCCATCTTAGATTCACAATAAATATCAATGAGTTGTTTTAATATTAAAATTGCTCTTAGGTTTGTTAGTCAACTATTTTTACTGTTGCAGTTTCATAGAAGGAAAGCATTTTCCACTGAAGTCAAATAAATCTGGATTCAAATCCTGGTTCTGACACCTACGAGCTAAGGGCTTCAGACAAGTTGTTTAAATGTCAGTTTCTAACTCTAAAATAAAAGCTTCAGTTCTTCCCTCTGGTCAGGACTTTGTGAAGATTAAATGAAATAGCAACACGCTAGAACTGGTGTTTATGCTAGTTATTCCCACCAAGCTCTGCTGTGCATGCTCACTCTGTGCAGATAGTCACTGACTGTTTCATGCTCACAGTATTTACCTCCAAGGAAAGTGAAAATGCATAAAAATGATGAAAATCGGAACATGTTCACTTTAGAAACTAGTCAATCTGGGAGGGATGCAAGCAATGTACTATAAATAATTTAGGGTCTAAATGTGAATATCTGATTTACTCTTAAGCTGATTCTTCTTTTCCAGAGGACAATGGAGACAGTGCCCCAGTTTCCAGATGTATCTATCACCTATCTATAATGTTGTGAATATAAAACAGAATGCGAATATCAATAATGCCTGAGACATCTCTCTAGTAAATTTTAAGTTCTCTATAAATGTAAACCTCTTCTCTTGTAAACACTATGAAAAGGGCATGGTCTGGATTTGGTGGGAGTAGTTTTATGATATAAAACAGAATCACATTAGGAAACAAAGGACTATTTTAGCCGTGTCTGGCAAGAAGATGTAAGGGAAATTAATGGTAAGAGTTTTTGTCTGGTGGGAATTTGAACCAGAATGACCTGGAGACTTTTCTGCCTGGAGGTAAACACTGTTGAATCCCTGTGTCCTCACAAGTCATGTGGCCATTGCTACCACATCCCTTTTCATCACAGGATCACAATGATGAAGTTCCACAATCAAAAAGGTTATACAGTTACCTCCAAAGGATCCACCTGGAATATCACGACCTAACTGCTAATGTGTGGTCAGCAGTTCAGACAGGAGCAAGTAGCAATGGTGCTTCCTAGGTAATGCCCGCGTGCATGGAGAAACAAAGACTCTGGTCCCTACCTCCAAGAGGAAGGAGAATTTCCCCACCTACCTCACGGTTGAGCGCAGGTAATGATAGCCTGAGGAGCCTCCAGTGCCAGCTTTGCTGCCCAGCATCCTGTGCACCATGCACACATGGTTATCTAGGCAAACAGACAAATTTACTGCATGGATTTCTTTTGCCATTAGTTCACAATGTTCTAAAAGCAAGGGGCTGGTAATGATTATTGCTTCTGAGAAAAGGTTGACACCTTATCACTTAGCCATATGGAAGGGTCAGGGGTGACAATCAGATGAAACCCTGAGGTTGCCTAGCACCCCACCTGGCTCAGCCGCATGCACTGCACTCCACCCATCTTTGCAGTTAGCCTAGAAACATCACAGGGGAGAGCAGGGCCACCATATAACTTTCGTGTACTGCTATTTTTGCCTTTATGAGTCCTTCTTCCTCCATTAAAAAAAACTGTTAAAATTATATTTTAAAACTGCATTGACATAAAGATGAATATACAGTAGATTCTCCATGGTGGACCACCTCCCTACACTGACCACATCCTAATTTTCATAGACCAGGCATGAACTACATGTACATAGCAGTACAGCAGGCCTAGTTCCTTGTTTCTTATGGTGACCACCCCCATATGTTGACCAGTTTGCAACAGTCCCTTGGGTGGTCAACTTACAGAGGCTCTACTGTTATTATGATTATCTATTAAAATATTTCCTTTGAACTAAAGCAGTGGTTCTCAACCTTCCTAATGCTGCGACCCTTTAATGCAGTTCATTATGTTGTGGTGAGCCCTAACCATGAGGGTCACCACAACATGAGGAACTATATAAAAGGGTTGTGGCATTAGGAAGGTTGAGAACCACTGAACTCAAGAATATTTTTTTCCTTCAGATTATAAAATAAAACATTTTCATGAGCCCCCCAAATTACTGTGGGCCCTAAGTACAGTGCCTGGCAGAGGGTGATTGCTGAGCTGATTTGTAGCAAATAACTCACCCCCACACAGAGAAGGATTAGAAAGGAGGGAGGAGGAAGGAGGGCACACAGAACAAAAGGGTAAAGAGACAGGATTGGGGAGAAGGAGTGTGGGGGTGCAAGGGAAGGACTTACATCTCCATTTGGTCATGAGTGTGTCTATGTCCATAAGAGAAGTCAGCAGCTGGAAGGGGACCTGGAATCTAGGCTCTTCTCTAAAAGAAAAATAATAATAAGAAGATATCTGTTCAAGTAAAGCTAGTGTGTTAGAAGAACATTAGTTTTGTCATTGGTTGACCCTGGAAATAATTGTCAACTTTGCCTCTTAGGACTTGTGACAGCAGTGGATTATTCTCTCATCTCAGTTTCTTCCTCTCAAAGATGGAGATAGACCTACCAGCTTGCAAGGTTTGTGGGATGTCTAGAAAATTCCCCATAATACATGTGAAGTACCAGCCAGAGTCACTCCTGACAATGATTCTTCTCCTTTTCTTTTTTTTAGAGACAGACTAGAATGCTGTGGTGTCATAGCTCACAGCAACCTCCAGCTCTTGGGCTTACGCAATTCTCTTGCCTTAGCCTCCTGAGTAGATGGGACAACAGGCAAGCCACAATGCCTGGCTATTTTTTGTTGTTGTTGCTGTTGCAGTTTGGCAGGGGCTGGGTTTGAACCCGCCACCCTCAGTAAATGGGGCCAGCGCCCTACTCACTGAGCCACAGGTGCCACCTCACAGTGATTCTTATTAAAGTAAGACACATATACTATCTCAGAAGACTCCCCAGCTAACCACAGTCAAAGTCAGAAACTACTAGACAAAGGTATCAAAACACAAAGAGAAAAACTGCGGTTTATTTCCTTCTATTTGTTTTCCTTTTCCTTTTTTTTTTTTAAATCGAAATCTTCAACTCTCTCAGTACATGTTCTACTTAGGACATCCAAGCCTGACTGGCATATATTTACTTGAGTTTAGGAAAAAAAGTTAAAAGATTTTCTTTATGCTTCTATTCTGGGGAAGAAAAAAAAAATATTTGTGAGGCTTTTAAAAACTAAATAAGTACATGGAAATAAGATATCCTGTAGACCTAAGATTTGAAGCCTTTTTGCTAGTGGGACATCCATTACTCTGACACATTAATTGATGAACCATGAGGATGGGACCTTCATATATTTGGAGTAGGAGCGCGTAGACATTTAGGAGTACCTTAAACATTTTATACGGTGAAGTTGATTTCACTTAAAATTGCTGATTAGGTAGGACAGTTATGAGGTCTTATTATTTTATTAAACAGGAATACCCTATAACATTGCTTAAAGACAGAACATATTTTATGACTGAGTTTCTGATATAGACTAAACTTTGGAACTTTAGGACACTTCTTATCCCATGATACTTTACAGAACTGAATATAACAGGATATTTGATTAATTTGTGGGGGGGAGTGTTGAATCTCATTCAGGGATGATGTTATACTCTTACTACTTAAAAGTTTAACAATGAAATATAAAATAGGACGAGCTCATGAAACTTCACTCACTTATTTTCTAAGCTTCCTCTAAAATTTGAATGACTGTATTAAACAATGACAGAAACTTATAGCTTCATATTGGATATTGACACCTCTTTTCTTCTAATTTCCTTTTACCTGTAGAAGTATATCATCAGTGCCCCCTGAAGTGCCCTGTATGACAGCCGTCTTTCACCTGCAAAATACACAGCACATTTTCATAGGTCATTTAATGTAGTCTTCTATTAATTTGACAGAAGTGCCTTAAAAATTTACATGGTTTATATTTGTTCAGATAATGATGTCAGTTTTAGTTTAATTTGCTTGTATCTCAGCTTGAATTTGGAAACTGATCATTTTAACACTGGATTTTAAAAGACAAACCAAAAAATGTATATACTTGAAATTCTCAAAATCCTTAAATGTCACGTTAGGAAAATCTGACAGTTCTAGAAAATACTTAACTTCCACAATAAAACTCATTTTTCAAGTAAAATAATATAATGACTTACTTTTCAGAAAGGTAAACAAGATTGATTTCAAGTGCCATTTGAAAGTCCTTTTCTCTAATTCACTTAAAATTAGTTTACTGGGCTTAAAGGAAGCACAATAATTATATAAAATCACACATGCATGCTCTAATGAAAGTCTTTCTCTTAGTTGCTGGAAAACAAGATTTGTAGTAATTTTTTTTTTTTTTTTTTTTGAGACAGAGCCTCAAGCTGTCCCCCTGGGTAGAGTGCCATGGCATCCCGCTCACAGCAACCTCCAACTCCTGGGCTCAAGCGAGTCTCCTGCCTCTGCCTCCCAAGTAGCTGGGACCACAGGCGCCCGCCACAATGCCCGGCTATTTTTTGGTTGCAGCCATCATTGTTGTTTGGCGGTCCGGGCTGGGGATTCGAACCCGCCACCTTAGGTGTACGTGGCTGGCGCCTTAGCTGATTGAGCTATAGGCGCCGAGCCGATTTGTAGTAATTTTTACTGAGTTTTTTCTTTGTTTGTTTGTTTTTAGAAAACTGAACCTAACAACATATAAGCATACAGAATTTAATATAAATTCCATACTCTGCTATGCCTTACCCTTTATTATAAAAATTAATGTTTATTTTATTCTGCCTATTTCTAAAAAGGCTTTGAAATACTTTTTATTAGAAGTTCTAAGTCAAAATGATCACAAAAGTCTAGTAATGAAAATGTTGCATTTACCGGTTAATTAGTTTCAGGCATCAGCTCAAGTTATCAGTTGGGTTGGAAACCCAAACGTGTGCTTTTCCTAGTCTGCTTAGGGAATATCCCCTCTGCCGAGCTGCCCTTGCTATCACAGTAGTTATTTCTTCCTTTTCCTACCTCTACCAGAGTATTCACAACAGAAATGACTTGCCTTCATTTCTGTCCCTTTTATGCCGTAAGCCATTCGAAAAACTATATCCACTTGATCTTGATATCTTCGTATCTGACACATACCATCTATGAAAATTCTTTTCTAATATATTTGAAATAATCTAGGCACAGAAACTTGTTAATATAGGGTTATCACAGACACAATTTACCCAATTCTTATTTCTATGAGTAGAATATCGATTTTTACTCTATTTCCTCCAAGTTTTGGTAGTCTTATAAAATTATAGTTTGACCTATACACCTATGTTCCAGGAAAAGAATCTTTAGAAGAAAAATATCTACCTTTACTAAGGAGATGGTCATGACGTTTCTCATCAAATAGGGACAGTAACACCTCTTTTTGTTTCTGAAATTCAGCCATCTGTTCCTCTTTTTCTTCTGATTCTTCCCTAGCCTTTAAGAAAAATGCTGCATTAGTATTCCCAAGAGAAAAAATAGATTGCTATTTCAGAACGCTTTGTCTATCTATGAGAGACGAAACTCACAACTGCAAAAAAGTGGTACTAGGAATATTTACCATACCATCTAATATTACAATTTGGAAGTTGTATTTTATGAGGACTCTTCCACACAGTCGCTGGTTCTTTTTTCTTTAAGTTTAAATGATTTGTTAATCTCAAATATCCTTCCGATAAATATCGTAAGAGATGGGCCCAGATAGACAAAATTGGAGATAACTATCAATGGTTAACAGTACTTAATTTTAAACAGTAATTATTTAACAGAAGAAGTAAAGTGCTTCCATTTAGGAAGAGTCCTTAGTCTGAATAACTATTAACTCTACTGAAATTCTATATTCAGTATTCCATTCTGTGAATACTATTTATTAGATATTTTTCACTCTTATATTTTATTCACTTGCTATCTATTGATTGGTTTAAGGAAATTCTTATATTTCTGCCTACCACGTATGTTTTGTTTACAACTAATTAATTGAACTGGAGTGAATTAATTAACCCAATTATTTTCAATTCATCAGAATAATCACTCTGTGTAGTAAGAACCTGTACACATATTACTTCTGTTATTTCAATAAGTGTCATGATAAGGTGATAGAGATAAAATCAAGAGCAAATTAAGACATTGAACAAATAACCACTCAGGCAGTAAATTGCAACCACGGAGAATGCAAAACAGGAACAAGTTGATACCGTAATAACTTCCAGTAGGAAGGAGTTTAGGAAAGAAGTTTTTCTTGAGCCATGATCTGCAAAATGGTAAGGAGTTACCTGGAGAAGGACGTTCTAAACCCAGAGAGAATATATAAATGGACTCCTGGGTGAAAAATGCACAAAACTGAAATAAAATAATAAAAGAAACTTACTGTGGTTGGACCATTTGAGATCATGAAAGGCCTTATGGTACATGTTAAGGTTTTTATCTTAATTCTAAAAGCCATGGGATTCCATCAAAAGGCTTTAAGCAAAAGAGAGATGAGATCAGACTTGCATTTTGAAAAAATTACCCAGACTGGAGTGTGAAGAATAAATTTAAGCAGAGCTGTATTGCAGAGAGGGCAGGACAGGTCAGAGACTATTACTTTAGTCCAGGTGAAAAACAATAGAAGTTCGTACTATAAAGGTGGTCGTAGATTAAAGGGAGATACTGAGAGCTATTTAGAAAGTCAAACAGGTAGGATGTAATGATAGCTTGAAGAAAGTGGCCAACGAAGAGGAAGGCCCCAAGAGTCATTGACAGGTGTCTGACTTGACTTAACAAACTAAGTGGCTAATAGGAGAAAAACTTCTTTAACTGAAGACCATTTGGGTACAGAAGTGGATGGAAGGGGAAATCTTCTAAGTTTGGTTTTACTACATATTGGTATGTTTTGAGGAGGACCAGGAAGAAATACCAACTAAGTTGTTAAATGTATGGTCTAAAATCTGGGGGGATAGCTAAACCAGAGACAAATGTTTGAGAATTATTGAAGATTAAGGAATATTGAAGCAGTGAGTATAAATGACATCATCTAATGAAAGAGAATAGAGATAGAACAGGAAGGATCTAAGCCAAGGCATAGTGAAACCCCACCACTTACAGGTGCAAGAAGAAAAATAAGAGCAGGTAAAAGAGATAGAGAAATGAGGACCCGGAGAATTAGATGCAGACGTAATGGTGGACTCCAAATCCTAGGGAAAAGAATGTTCACAAAGAGTGGTGAGAAGTCACTAGCATTGAATGCTGCTGGGAAGACGAGTAAAATTAAGATTAAAAAACGGACATTATGTTCATGGAGGCTGTTTGTGAAGAAGGGTGAAGACGGTGTTGGGGGGGGGAATGAGGATTAGATGGAAGGTAGATAATTGTTCTAACTATTGTTCTAAATACTTTACAAATATTCATTTGTTTCATGTTTATGACAATCCTAGGGGATGGGCACTCTTACTTTTCTACGTGACCACAGATGACAGTGAGTTACGGAGAGGCTAAGTAACTTGTTTGCCATCACACAGTTGGAATCTGAACCCAAGTAGTGTGACTTCAAAGTCCGTGCTTTAAACACTACCTGATACATTCTCTTGAGACAGAGAATTTAAACAACTCTTTTAAGAACTGTCCTCACAAAGAGAGGATGAGACCTACAACCTGAGGGAACTTAGCCAATACAAAGGACCTAGCAATATGCAAGAGCCAAAGGAAAGTTATCTGGTGAAATATATTTGGTGAATTGGTCCTGCGTGTGCAGTAATATGGTCATAATGTGGAATTTTCAATAGAGATGAAAATGTCTATTAATCTCAGCTATTTATCATAGACCAAAAGCTTATTCTCCATGAAAACCTTTAGTAGGCTTTTCATTACCCTTAAAGAATGTAGAATTAATCATGTAATACATTTCAAAAAAACACAATTGTTAAACATAAAGAACAAAAGGAAAATGAAAGATTAAGAGCAGTAAATTGTTAAAATAAAAATTTTAAAATTTTTTCTATAGTAAACTTGTATTAAATCAAAGCATCTATGTACCTGAATCCTTATGAAATCCTCTTCCAGGCCTTTCACGATATTTTTTTCAAACTTTCCCCAGAAGTTAAATCCATGCGGTTCTAAACCTGGTGTTCTTTCCAGCCATGCCTTAAGTAAACATTAGGTTGTAGAGTAACTACATGGTACACTTTTAAGTATAGTAAATACATTACAAATAATATAAATAAACTTTAAATAAGAATTTTTTCTCTCTCTTAAATTTATTCATTTATGAAATAGTAACCAACATATTCCATTTTCTTAATATTTATGGCAGTCATTATTAGTGTTTACTTTTTATTTCTTACAAGATATTAGATTACATAAATCCCAATTATTTTGTGGATATCTAAGAATGTATTGTTTGCAATATGAAACGTTTTAGTGACATTTTCTGGTTTATTTTCAAAATACTTTATGTTTTATGAGCCGAAGAAATTATGACATGTGTAACATATAAGATACTTTTTTATAAATTGAGGAGCACTATAAACTTAGAAACTTTGAAATTAATTAACCCATGCAATTATTTTAAAATTTTACAAGTCATTCTAACCTAGAAATAAAATGGAACTCATACACCTGTGTAGGTCCTCATATAATGTGTACTTAGTTTTGAAATTAGTTTTACTACGATTTCTTTCCTCATTTTTACAAAACATTATGTGACATTATATATAACAAATTAACCTAAATCCATGTTTGAAATTCCCAGGGGATTAACGAGCAGAGTATAATTCAACAAAAGAAAAGTTTAATTTGCAAAGAAAAAGGCTTTGACAAGGAAACCAAGACAATACATTTTTAAATAATTTACTTATGAAGAAACAAATTAATAACTCCTGAAGGCTATTTACAGACCTTAGGGAATTTGGATATGAAAGAAAAAAATCTGAAGAGTATATTTTTAGTAATTTAGTTTAATTAAGAAAAAGAGTAAGTGGAAATTTGCAATTACAGAACATTTTTAAAGTAATAAAACTCATCGAATAATGAACCATATTCCATCTAAAAATTAGCTAATTAAGCATTGCTTAGTAAAGATGTTGAAAAGATTGTTTGAGATTGATGATGTTATTAAATAGTAGCCCACAATTGATTATATAGATATTGCTGACGTCCTTAAGAGGGTTCTTGATTATTTTATTTAAGAAGTTGAATTTACAAATTTAAGTATTTTTATAAATTCTTCCTGCACTTCTTTCTGATGCCTGTAACCCAAGTTTGACAGGAGTTTTAAATCCGAGTTAGACTTTAGGAGTTGAATGTGAGCACACACCTCCACTAGCTGCAGAAGTGTTTTTTCCTGCTCCGACTTAAGTAGCAGCTCGTTATCTTCGCCTTTGAAGTTATCCCGATAATGTCTCCGGTTGTAAGGGACTCTCAAGCTCTGAAGAACACCTATTTTGTTTTCTAATAGTCGGAACTGCAGACTCTGGAAGCCTGATGCTGGAGATAAGTACTCTCTGAGAATGAAGAGAGGCAGGCAATCCAAGAGGAAGGAAGAGATGAGTTGGTAATGAGTTCAGTGCTTTTCTCTATTGCAAGGAGGTATGAGTTCTGCTCTCCCAGTTATTGACAACAGACACACAATCACTTCAAATCGGACCTATGATTTGGCTATCATTGAAATCAGGAAAATGAGCTATTTAAACAACAATGTTAAATTTAGAAAATGTATAGTTTTGAAATGCCATGTACATTTTTAATCTATAATATATAGCATTTCATATATTATACAAATTGGCCATAATGCATGTTGAACTAATAGCACATACATCTGTATGCATGGGGGTATACAGATATACATATGTGCAATCGCAAGGGTGTAGGTGTACTTGTACTTATTTTTTTCCTAAGATAAAGACAGTTGGAAGTTGAGAAATGTTTTTCCACCGTGCTAAAAGATGCCTTGTGAATATTATTTAATCCTTTATTACTTGAATTCTTGGGTATCATTAATCGCATTGCCCTGTGTTATTAGGAGCACCTGCGAAATAATACAAGTGAGAAGGACAGGATGTTGTCTGTCACAAAATAGGCAAGCAAAAAATGAAAAATGTTGCCCACATGTTACATGGTGGTAAAGATCTTTCACCTAACTGGTGCTAAGGCAGTAACTTCTAAAATTTACCACAAAGGAATTCTACCACTTTTCCACTGATTCTCAAACATGTTGGAGACATTGCTTGTTACATCATACACTGACAGAATTAGGAAAATTTCTTCTAAACTCGGGTAATAAATTAATAAATACACCCACATTATTCACAGAATGCCAAATGTGTGTTGTATGTATATATATTAAACATATTCAGGATATATATAGAAATTTAGAGCTAAAATTATACTGACACTTTTACTTGCATGCATATATATCTATATAGCTCTATTTTAATTTTTTAATTTTTTAATTTAATTACATATGATTTATTAGCTATTTTGGCCATTTTGCTAAGTTGTCTAAAATTCATTTTGGAGAAAAGCATGGCACACAATAATGAATTAAAATTAAGGGGTCATATTATGTCAAAATGGGTGTTGAGGTATTTTAAGTAACTTCTCAAGTGCTTTGTGTATGAAGACCCCACATACACACAGCAACAGTAACAGCAGGACAGACTTGTCATGTCACACAACACACACATTCTCCTTTTACTCCACCAGAATCACAAGGCAAGCCCCACCCACCACATTTTTAAAACGCAGTAAGTGCACACCTGAAGTCATTGAAGTCCAAGGCTGTCATCGTCTCCAGAACAGAAAATTGCTGCACCAGCAGTTTAAGGATCACCGTCACTCGGTGCATCCGAGTGACCACCTTAAGCATGTTCCTTTCATCCCTGACCTGACGGTTAAGAAGTAAAACACTGATTAATCAATTTTAATTTCTAGAAGTTACAAGTAGACAAATGGCACTGCTTTCCCATTAACTTCATCTCTATTTTAAAGAGGAACATTGGGGCTAAAATTTGCAGTAAGAACATGTTGAACTAATGACAATTCTGAATTGCGTGAAAGGAACATCTGCGAAACCAGCATTATTTTTCTTTCTTTAAAAACAGAAAATGATATCGTAGCAAGGTAGAAGTAAATTCTGGAACGCAACCGCCACTGATTTCAAAACAATTTCCTCTTTTAGTTTTGCTTCAAAGAAGAAGGTCAAGGTAGCACTGGAAACTTCTGGGTGACAGTTAAGCAACATCTGCATACATTTGCTCTCTACTGAGAGCCCAAGTTGCCACTAACAAACTAGGGAACTGCGTTCAGATGCATGAGAAGAGTCCTGTCCGTATGGGTGTGCTCCTTCCCAGCCTCTCTTGGAAAAGGGCTCAGAGGGGAGGACAGGAGGGGGATCTCAGAGGACATGGGAAGACGAAGCAGGATGGGGGATGGAGAAGGGCAGGTGGACTTCCACCATCACCTGAAGCTCTGCTGTCCCCTCTGGTCCCTCTTAGTCCTCCTGTCCTTTCCCCCCTGCCCTTGTCCTGTCTTCCTCTTCCCTCCTCCCTCTACCCTTTGCCTACTGCCTCCTCCTCTTTCTCTGTTACTTTCCTCATTGTTGCTCCTATCTTCCCATAGTGAATATTTATTAGAAATACAATTCCAGTACCTATTAATTAAAGAATCTCTAGTCTGTTAATCTACTATTAATATGATTTAAAACACCTTCCTGGGTGGCTCCTGTGGCTCAGAGGAGTAGGGTGTGGGCCCCATAAGCCGGAGGTGGCGAGTTCAAACCCAACCCCGGCCAAAAACTGCAAAAAACAAACAAACAAACAAAAAAATCTTCCTTTGGGGAGGAAAAAAATGAGTTGACACGAAGGCCTTGAAACTGAAATTTTAAAGGAATCTTAAAGCCACATGGAGTTCTGGAGTAGAAGTGGACTGGGACGGTGTCACTGAACTCCTGTCCACTCCGGAAATGTTTATTTGTTTCATTATTAAGTAATAAGCCCACCATTTGGTGTTATTTTTTTTCTCATTAATCATATTTTCTATATTTTCCAAGTAATCTGTATGTAACCTGCATCGTGGTCTCACTTACGTGGCCACTCTGAAAGATCTCTCGAACAGAATCCAGTTCCCAGAGGATTTGCTTAAACCAGAGTTCATAAGCTGCAAGAAGAAAACCATTGTTGATTGGAAAGTTATTCGAGCCTCTTTGTCCATCATTCCATTAAAGACATGGTTAACATACTGAAAGAGAAGCGAAGATATAACTCCAAAATCAGTAAGTGGAAATAGGGCTCCATCTTATGCTAGAAATGAGTATCAGTGTGAAAGTTAGGACAGCCTCCTGGTAGCAAATATTCTAATATGCCAGGCACATTACCTACATACATTATTTTTTACCTTGATTTCTCTCAGCAAACACACCTTTTAGGTCTTTTAGGATACAGCATATAACCTCATTCTGACTTTCTACATGAAAGTTGGAAATATGTGGGCAAGCGGAAGTGATACTTAACTTCAACTATACACTGAGAAATGAATATTTGCTCACTTAAATGAACACCTGTAGGATCTTAAGATTGTGAAAACTTAAAGCTACATTACTTACAAACAAAGTATAAGTAATTTGAGATTAAGAGATTAAATAAGAAAGTTGACTTTCTTTCTTTGATTTGTGAAAAACCTAGCCGGATGTTGGTGGTGGAATGATAACAGGAAAGCATCCTCTTCTCACGGCTAATTCCCAGGAGCAACTCGACTCATCCTGACCCAGATCCCTTCTTTCAGAATCTCCATTTGCTCCATGTGTTTAAACCTGAATTCCACCAAAGCATTTTTATTGAAGGATTTAAGCAAGGCCTTTCACTATGAATTTCTTTTCCCCTTTTGTAAAGGGCCATCAAAACATAATTGGCATTAAAGAAAAGTGATATAGTGTGACATGCTGGAAAAAACATGGATGGAATCAGGCCATCGAAAGTTACTGACAGTGTCAGTTGGGGCAAAAACCCTAATTTTTCTTAATTTTAGTTAACTCATTTGGAAAAAAGTAAAAAAAAAACTATTCAGCAACAAGTCGAATCCTGGGATTCAAAATCTTAAAATTTACTTATAGCAGTGTGACAGATATGGAAAGACTTTCTGAATCCTTTGTGTCAACAACTGGGCTATTCATGGCAAGCACAAAGAGTTTTCCCCCTTAGCTTACCCTTCCCACAGTATTCTATGCCCCTACAAACCAAGGAGTTTGTCACATTCATCTATTTTTACTCAGTACCTACCACAGTGTTCAGCATAAGGTAAGCACTGGGTGGCTATTTTGTAAATAAATAAATTAAATAGCCAAAATAATCCTTAGATGAGCAAGATCTCTGGTGCACCCTGTTTGGTTCTATCATATGAATAAAGGTTATGTTTCTGTATTAATCAGGGAAATCCAATTACAAGTTTAAGTTACATTTAAGAATACTTTGGGGGGATCTAAAATATTTTGGATTTGAGAAAATCAAATATATGTTGTTCGATTTATGTATCTTTTTTTTAGGTTTAACCTTCTGTAGCAGTCCCAGGACTCACCACCTACATGCTGTAACTAAGGGATGGAAGGAAAGTATCCCAGCTAAAAAAAATGACAACCCGTTAGCACTTGTTGCAGGCTGATTATGTGCTATACCTTGAGCTAAGTGCTCATTGCAAATTGTCTCATTCTATCTTCAAGGAACTCTGAGAGAGAACATACAATAATCCTCTTCATTTCCCGTAGGGGAAATGAAGCTCCTGAGATTTAAGCACCTTCTCCAAGGTCACGGCACACAATTTGTCATGGTAGAAATGGGCTTCCGGATGGGTTTTGAATTCCTCATGTGTGCTACAGTGCCATTATTCCTTCCCTATTGATTTTGCCTTGGTATAAGCCACCAAGAAAAATAAAAGCAGAAGCATAAAAGCAGAAGTAACACATTAAGCCAATTATTGTTTATTGTAAATTTCTTTCCTCAAAGAAGTTAATTATTTTAGCCAGTCAGTGAGACAAGCACCCTTTGGAGGAAAGAAAACAAAGAATGAGTAGGGAAGGGAAGCATCACAATGTGGTGTATTGACCAGCCCAGGTGATTGGCACCTATTCATTCAGAGGATAGAGTATGGCGCTGACAAGCTTAGAGTAAATATGAATAACTTGGGGTCACAGACCTCTTTATGATACACGTTCATGAACATTTTCACATAATTTTAGACCTCAGAGACCTAAACTTCTAATGGGATGGACTTTTAAGCTAAAAATCCACTGTCCAGAGGTTAGAAATCTGGAAAGGATAAACATACATTTCAGACTAAAAAGTTATATTTTTGTTTAGTACCAGATTTTTATAGGCTTATTTCCATTCACAATAAGTTTGAATGATGTATTTGTTAAAAACTGGTAGTGTCAAAAAATTGTATGGACATTTTCAGAGACGTAATCTATGTATTACTTTTTGTTCTCCATAATCAGAAATGTCTCCATGTTGATGGTTACCATGTTACCACTCTGAGCATCTCTTATAATCACAGAGGTCAAATGTGACTTGGTATCTTTTGTTATCAGTGTACTATTTATAGTGAGTATTACACTTTTAATACAGTTTTTTTCCTTTCTCAAAATGTGTGTACAATTTTTGACACCCTCTGTAGCTTTTTAATGTTTCAAGTTGAGAAATAATTTGTAGATTTTTTGTGAAACTCTGAGAGATGAAAAGTCCCATTGGAGTTAGGGACAAAACTGAAGTCCTACTTGACCCAGTTAGCAAAGAAGCAGCATTAAGAATACTGAGACCAAGTCCTATAAGAATTTGGCAGTGAAACATTCTCAGGCATGTCTAACAGAGGTGATTCCCTGACTTGTTCATATTTTAGAGCTAAAATACTGCAACTTCCCTCATTACTGATGAGAAATGTCTGGGGAAGATTTATTGGCCAACCCTTTGTGCAACTCACCTTGATGAGTTACGATAAAAAGATGTTCATCATGGATTTTATTTCCTTTTATTTCACTTTGAAGTTCTTGTGCATGCAAAATTTTTTCCAACTTTAAATGAAAAATAAAAAGACTGATTTGAAATCGCAGAACTTGGCTTTTATCAACTTTAATAAGAAGTACAATAAAATCATGGAAAGATTTCCCACAAATTTTAACTTCTCAGAGATCAATCAATTTCCTTTTAAACGATGGCTGAATCTCATCCTAATGACTGAGTTGAATTTAGAATTTTTATTCTTCTCTGGAAATTTTTACCTGGTAGGATTTTATCGTAAGAAATGCTATTACACTCTTTGAGAGGTCTTATCCTTTACCACTAAATAAATAATCTGATGAAATCTTGCAAACTTGCTGAGCTGACATCTGCCATTCTTTTACTCCCCTAAAGAGCCTATTCTATGAGCATCTCAACATGCTTTACCAGTTCATCCCTATTAACCCATTTATGACAAGATCAAGTTCTCTAATTATTTGGCTTCTTAAAAAAAAAAGAAGAAGAAAGAAGGAAAAACAGGTTGAAACTTATCCTACAATAATCTCAATGTACACCATTTATTAACAGCCCTAGCATTCTACTTTATGCTAAGAGATTTAAAATAGAAATTTCTTCAAGATTCGTTCTCAGTGATTGAGGGTGCGGTTTATTGATTAACTGTGGCTTATTTATCTGAGTTGTGCAATGCCCACAACTATCTACAGTGTACCCTCTTATTTACACTCTTCTGCAGGATCCTGGCTCTCTGCTTGTGTTGTACCAAAGCTGGAGAGGTGAGTTTTCTCCCATGAATCTCTTGAATTACTCTATGAAAACTTGGAAAAATATTAATTTTTATGAATAGAGATAGTCTTAGGTCCCGAAAACTATTGGTGACTGAGGGAAAAATAATTCGTAGAATCAAAAACATGGAAAAATCACTTTGCAGAATTTCGTGCCTAACAATGGCAGCTAACCCAGGTCAGCACAGTGTCACTTACGTGCAGGTAGTTCCCATAGATAAGGCCCCCTTTGCTGGCCCTATTCACACCTCCTTGGGATATGTCTTCTTCACTGCCTTCTACAGGTAGTTTCTGAAAAGCATATCTGCAGATTTAATAAGCCAAAAGGAAAAAAATAATTGAACTTTAGAAGACACAGTTAATTAATAATATGGGTGATTAAAATTCCCTTATTGCTAACTTTGTTTAGAGCAGATTATTAAACAAGGGAATAAAGGTGACAGTTTTCAATCCTCTTTAGATTCAGAGATTAAAATGCTCACACTTGGTACTTCTAAGAGTCTAACCCCACTTAGAAAAAAAAAAGCAGCAAATACTCACCTGAGATTGTTTCCTAAAAATGGGCACCCACTCATGGTGAAAGGCAGAGCACTCTCTGAGAAGCACGGAGGTTGACTCTAGACAGAGGATTGCACTGACCCTCCCAGATGTTCGGCCACTGCCTTTTATGTACCCTGCTTGTCCTGCTCCAGCCAATCAGCACTCTCCTTAGACTCAGCTAGTTTCTCATTTCAGTTGGTACAGAACTGACCCTTTGTGAACTCCAGAGTGGATTTATGTTGGGCACAGTCCATTTTCTAAAAGAATGAGCATTCTGCCAAATTGAATCATATGACTTGACAATTTCTGTTTTTATAACCAAACTAACAACATCAAATAAATAATAAAGGCCAAGTTTGAAATATTTACAGTGAATGATTTAATTCCAACATAGCATTTGGCATGGTGTTAGGATACGTTTAGAGGATGACATTTTAAAAACAAATATTTGTTTTCTCAGATTTGGATATTTTTACAGCTCTTACGCCAATAATCAAATTTTGCGTGCCTGCAGCACAGTAGCTCCACGCCTGTAGCACAGTGGTTGAGGCACCAGCCACCGAGGCTTGAGGGTTTGAACCCAGCTCGGCCAGCTAAAAAATAATGACAACTGCAACAAAAAATAGCCAGGCATTGTGGCTGGCACCTGTAGTCCTAGCTACTTGGGAGGCTGAGTCAAGAGACTCCCTTAAGCCCAAGAGTTTGAGGTTGCTGTGAGCTGTGACCCCATGGCCTTCAACCCAGGGTGACAGCCTGAGACTCTGCCTCAAAAAAAAAAAAAAAAAATCTCTGGGGAATGAGATTCACTGTATAACAGAGGCTGAGCACATACTCAAAGTCCAATTCCATCCATCATCGGTGTTCTTCTGGCCTATATACCATCTAGTAATTAGCAGCAGTGAAACTCTCAGCACATGGTATTAGAGTTTAAATGGACACTGTTAGGTTCTCTCCTTAGGCTATGGCAAGGAACTAGGAAGTAGGAGTCCTTCACATTAAGGTACATCGTCTATAGAGCACTTAAAAACAATAACCATGTGCCTATAATTCTCAGCACTGTCAGTGACAAAATGTTCTTTCTAGAAACATGTATTGGTCTAAGTTTTAACCAACTTCTCTGAAGACTACTGAGCCAGGACAGAAGCTCTCCTGCCTAACTCTTAGCAGATCCCTGTGACTCACTAAGAATTACCCCCAAATGTAGCGTTTGCTACTTATTCAGCCATCTCAGTGGTGGATTTTTGACTAATTTATGAAAGAAAGTAGAAGTCAGAAGCCTCATTTCCTGGCTCTACCACTAACTATGTAATATGAGAAAAACTTAACTTCTATATCTACCAACTTCCTCACTAAAAGAAATAAAAACGTTTACATCGATTATAATTTGGAAGATCTTGATCCACCCTAAAAATCTTGATTTTATTATACCAGGTGATGTGTCATAATGTAATGACGTTTTATAGATGGAGAGACAACATGAAAATGCTACATAGTAGAGAAGTGGGAAATCGTCAAAACCACATTCTACACCAGTCACTTTTCCTTTTTTTTTGCAGTTTTTGGCCAGGGCCGGGGTTGAACCTGCCATCTCCAGCATATGGGGCCGGCACCCTACTCCTTTGAGCCACAGGTGCCACCCCATTTGCTTTTCTTTCTCTATGGTGACTCTGGTAACTGTGCACACACTGGATAGGGCCTTACCCTGGGGAGGGGAGGGGTGAGACCCTGTCCTTTTCCTAGGGTCCTGGCATAGAGTGTTGAGAAGCAGTGAATGGTCAGTAACCCCTCTCCCTTTACTGGGTTGTCTAACCAGGTGTGTTTACAAACAATGGTGCTAAATACTTTACTCCAATCTCTTTAAGCCTTTTGAGCTAAGGAGTATTCTTGAATTATTGGCCAAAATATTAATGAAAGAAATAAGGAAAGTGTTTCCTCGCTATCAGGGATTTTCAACCTATGGGTCATGACCCACAGGAACTGTATTAAAGGGCCACAGCATTAGGAAGGTTGAGAACTACTGCTCTCTATATTGAAAATAAGCCAGATATTTTACAAACAAAAGCATTTCTTTTTTTTTTAAATCGCATTCCAAGTGGATCTCCTAAGAACTATCAATTTAGTGTGTGCTTTAGCAGAGTAAGAACTGTGCTTTAGCAGAGTAAGACCATTGCAAGAGTTTAATTTGATGCATCAGAAAAATAGTAAACTAATCTACAAAGAGCTTGTCTCCTTTACCCAGGAGAGTAACTCTAATGGTGACCCCTCAAACACATATATTCCCATTCTTATTTTGCAAGGATTGGATTATCAAATTTATGAGGTATTAAAGGCTAGTCATCAACCTGCCAGTACTTAAAATTTGCCACTTGGAACCCAGTTTATCCAGTGTTAACCTATCTTGGAAAGTTTTCTTTATGACCCGATGTAAAATTCATGTAAAGACTAGTCTATGCTTCTCCAGATGTATTTTCCACAGACCTTCTGGACATAGACTTGAACTCAAGAAATAAAATATATTAGTTTGAACCTCAGGCATTATATATAATAGGTCAAAAGAGGAGAATTTGTGGGTACAGGGAATGGCCTGTGATGACGTTCTAACGCCTTAGATGTGAATGTGTAAACATCACGGTGAACACAACGACGAGAGAAGGAAAAGCAGGAGGGGCGACTGCCTGATGAGCATGCTTGGAAGATGCAAATTATAACTAATGCTGCCAAAAGGGTGGAAAATAAATTAAGAACATTATAACCAAAACCTTTGTCTCTACATCTTTCCTTGTGATCTCTAAGTTTAGGTTGTAGAAAAGAATCAGCCTGTGAGGATAGAGCAAAGTTCATAGGAACTTGTGGGGTGACTTAAATGTTGCAAAACTCATGGCAATTTAGAAGAATGATTCCTTCAGACAAGATAGTATTAGTTTCCCCAAAGCACCTCTTGTAATCTCTTGTAAGACAATGCATTTTCTTCTTTCATCTGTCCCTCACAGCTTAAAACTTCTGGGACACCCCTTTGTGCACCAACTCAATTGTCCAGTTTGTTTACTCAACAATAATGGACTGAGGCAGATCCACAAAAGTCAAAAGACTTTTCCTTCCCGAGCAAAGGAGTGTGGGTAAACATAGCAGCCGTTCAATAATTTGTCATTGATACAGTAAATTACAATTTGTTATGCAAAAAGCTTTCTGTTGTTATTGCTTTGTTTTAATGTTTTACTTGATCCCAATAGATAGATGGGAGTTCGAAGAGAATTCAGATTCCTTAACTAGGATTTAAAGTTAGTCATAGGGGTAGAAGCTTTTCAAAATCTCTTGAATAAAACTCATTAACTTTTATTCAGTTGTAATTATGACATACTTCAGAAAAAAGGAGAACAAACCCATCAGAATGCTGATTTCAAGGGAAGACTCGCCCTGCTATTCATAGATCAATGAAGGGACTATTTCTTTCCCCTGTATGGATTTTGGATGACTAGTTTCCAAGGGAAAAAGAAAAAAATTCTTGGAAGATGTGCGTAGATAAGGTTACTGAAAGCAGGCTTACAGATAAGGAAACGGGAGTCCCTCACAAAGTGAAGGCATCACAAAGGAGCCAGGAATCAGGGGTCCCATGCTCACTCTGGTCTGTGGAATGTGGCATTTTCAGAGAAATTCCTACAGATAAACTTTTACTTTACTTCTTTGTTTATTAAAACCATGAACGCTATCATTTTGTAATATAATTTGTAGCAATTTCAACACAAGGTTAGAAAAGATGTTCATCTATTGCTGATGATGTGATTTGTAGTAAAACTCTAATAGCAATTTTGACTTTTGATTTTTCCTAGATCAAAATGATATATTACCATGTAAAATTTGTCAACAGAGTATGCATCTCATTATATGATAGAATTTTTAAAAACTGATATACTATTTATAAATGAGAAATGGTAAAATTTATTTTTATAGTATGAATTATATAAAATAAACTTAATGATATAATCATGATGCATTACATAATTTTTAAAAGTACTAAGTAGCTCATTATTAACTATGCAAAAACAATAAAATGTTAAAAAGTGTAAGTGCTATTTCCATAATAAATAGTTTGAAACACTTGAAATATATGCTTTTCTATGTCAGAATGAGTGAATATCAAGAATTTTATGTGATTCATATTATTATTACTATAATACTAAACACTAACATACTATTATAGCAGCTTGCAAGTCAGGAGTATTTGCAAAATTCTCAAATAGAGACATTTGTTTCTGAAAAGGAAAGAGGTAAGCGATGAATTTATCTCTTTAGATATTCATCAAAATCTGTATAACACCCAAACTTACCAGCAGGAAACTCAAGACTTCCTACTCTTACAAGAGACTGCATAATTTTCAGATCTCATTTCTCACTACTTCCCACCCAACACCTAATGATAAATCCAGAGCATAGGAACTAAGTCCTGGAATCTTTGAAATTTTCCATGCTTAGAGTGACCTCCCTTCCGTCCTCCACCAACAGACATTTCTTTACTCGTGAAGACATTTCCAGAAGCTCTTCCTCTGTAATGTGCCATGATGCCCTCAAGAAGAGTAATTTCTTCCTCTTCAGTGGTTCAACAAGACTTTGTTCTTATTAAAATTCTTAGCAGTTATCACATTTAATTGTCACCATTTGGTATTATGCCTGAGTTCCTCAATGGGCTATTACCTCCAAGTAAACACTGCCCTTCTTTTTAAATCTCCTATACTAGCACAGATCAGATGAGGAAGAACACAACAAACAATTCTCAATAAAGTTGAAATTTGTCTTTCTTCCACCTTTTATTCAAAGTCAAATATAAATTAAAATGCTTAGGTAGTGATAGGCTGGTCAGAGGAATGCCCCCAAACAGAGCAAGCACAGTCCACCCCATTGGGAGCATCAGGCACTCCATCTTGGCCATTCAGTGACCTCTGTTGATAACCCCCCTTGTGGAACCCAGCCAGAAGGAAGGAGGAACTAGATAGAGGACACGATGTCTTCCCGAGAGGCTAAACAGTAAATGAACTGAATGGTCTCAGCAGAAGCCAGATGGAACCTGTCCCTGGCAACAGTCACTAGCACACGGAAGTAACACTCTCCG